AACGCAGAACAGGAAAGTCCGAGACGAAGCTCTCTCTGAGCTCGAGACGAGCTACGCCGATCCAGTCGATCAACACCTCAGTGACGTCACCCTTGCTGCGCAAGGGGAAGACTGTGGTGTAACGCGAATAGGTGTCAACCACCAGTAGAAAGTACCCCTCTCGCCCCTGCCCCCTGACGCGGACGGGGCCCCACACGTCCATGTGGAGAGTCTGCAGCGGAGCCTCTGTCGGAGGAAACTCGGAGGAGTGAGGGGCGGCGCGCTGTCGCCCCTCGACGTAGGGGACGCAGGTAGGGCCAGGCCGAGGAGGAAGGGGAGGGAGAGACCGAGGGAGACCAGAGACAAGGACACGGGAGGCCATGTCTCGGAGACGAGGCAAGGAGGGGTGACCAAGGCGGTGGTGCCAAAGGAGAGTCTGGTGGGACAGCAGACGACAGGAGCAGGAAGCAGACTCACGACCAGACCTGGACGCCGCAGCAAACACCTGACTCGACGCAGCTACCTGGGCAAAGTCAGCAGCAGGAGGAGGCTCAGTAGTAAGGGTGTATAGGCTCGACCTTGGCTGACGGGTGAACGTGGCCATGTGTCGGCCTGTCCGAGCACACGTACATTGGGTCACTGGCTGACTCGCAGGAGTGAATAGGTCAACCCCTCGATCCTGTAGGTCCGCTCCACTCACCAAGTTCGTAAAGAACGAGGGGAGGTAGAGACCAGACAGGGTGCCAAAGGGGGCTCCCGGGCACGGTAGGACAGTGAAGAAGCTAGCAAGGACAGGACCCCCAGAGGGGTCTGCCAGGGAGACTGCAACCGGCCGACTGAGCGGCGTAAGAGTGGTGCGGTCTCGAAAGAAGGAGCGGGACGCACCCGAGTCCAGGGTGAAGGTGTGGAAGGCCTGAGCCGACGTATTACCTGAGAGAGCAGACTCACCAGCACCTGGGGCAGCAGACGCACTGGCACTTGGGGCACCAGACGCACTAGCACCTAGAGGAGCAGCCTCACCAGCACCTAGAGCAGTAGCCTCAATGCCCAGGTCAGGCAGTACACACAGGTAACAGTCACCCGCAACACTAGTATCAACAGCATACATGGCAGCAAGAATAGCATCAAAATCAAGATCAAAGATAGCAACCCCGGCCTCAGACAGATCTCCCCAGGGAGGGATCTCGGACCCTTCAGGGAACCAGCGGCGCCACGCGTATGTCACGCGACCAAAGCAGCGCTGGGTGGAGTGCGGGCCTCCGCACTGCTCACCAGCTCGGTCGCCGGTACGGAGGACGTAAGCGTAAGAACCAAAACCCCCACCGCGCTGAGGTGCAGCGTACCACTCTCGAAGCTGCTGAGGGGATAGGGTCACACCACTCCGCTGCTGCTGGCGTGGACCACCACCTGAGCCACTCCTCTGCGCAGAGTCGCGACCCGCTCCACCACTGCCGCCGCCGCCGCCTCCGCCGCCTCCGCCGCCTCCTCCACCCCGCCTCCTCCGCCACCTCCGCCGCCTCCGCTCCCTCCGCCACCTCCATCGCCTCCGCCTCCTCCACTGCTGTTGCCGCCGCCGCCACCCCGGCACCTTGCCCTTGCCAGTGCGGCGTTTCCCGCTGGGGGCAGACGCAGCGCCGACCGACTCGAAACCAACGAGGTCGGCCGCAGAACCAGAGGCGACAGAGGGCAAGAGGGGGGAGGGAGAACACCCCTCAAAGACGGGGGTGCGAGGGTCACCACGAGAGGCTCCTACAGCGACTATGCTCTTCTCTATCTCTAGGAAGGCCGTCTCGAGGAGGTCAACGGTGAGAGTGGTGGGGCAAACTTAAAGGAAGTGGTCCCTTATTACGCGGAGAGAGTCAGGGAGCCGGGTGACTATGTAGTAGAGGGTGATGTACATGGGGGGGGGGGGGGGGGTTTCTTGGCGCAGAAGTCAGCAGGAAGAGCAGCGCAGTAGCGAGTGTCACTAGTGCGGAGGTGCGTAATGAGGTCAGCGACAGTGGGAAAGGCAGCAAGGTCGGGGAAGAGGTACGGTAGCATGAGGCGGCTCAGTGCAGCAGTGGCAGGGGAATAGTAGTGTGCAAATACAGCGTCGTACAAGGTCTGAGCACTCTTGTACTGGCTAAAGTGGGCACGCTCAGTGGTCGGTAAGTGGCGGCGCACAGCAAGGCGAGCAGCAGCATCGCGTGTGACCCACTGTGAGCGAACAGTGGCGTCAGCATCAGCAGCAGAGGCAGGAGAGGCACCAGAAGTGAGGTCAAATAGGGAGAGGCCGTCTGCCCTATCGCACTGTAGGAAAAGCTGCAGATCATCTACCGAGAGCTCAAAGTCAACTGCTTGACCCTCAGTGTCAAAGGTGAGAACGCTAGGGGAGGCCATAACTGCACTAGACAGGCAGTGAGTACAGTGGGGCACTGCAGTGCAGTGGTAGAGACTCTGCTTTTACCAGGCAAGTGGGGCTGTTGGGCGGCTCGGCGGCGGGCGGCTCGGCTGCTCGGCGGCTCGGCTGCTGGTCGGCTGGGCGGTCGGGCGGCTCGGCTGCTGGGCGGCTCGGCTGCTGGGCGGCTAGGCGGTCGAGCGGCTCGGGTGCAGGGCGGCTCGCTGGTCGGGCTGCTCGGTGGCTCGGCTGCTCGGCGGCTCGGGCTCTGGGCGGCTGAGCGGCGACGGGGCCATGGAAGGGCGGCGATGGGGCTGCTGAAAGGGCGGCTACGGGCCGCTGGAAGGGCGGGCGGCGACGGGGCCGCTGAAAGGGCGGCGACGGGGCCGCTGTGAAGGGCGGCGACGGGGCCGCTGAAGGGCGGTTCTGGGGCCGCGGAAGGGCGGGCGACGGGGCCGTTGTAAGGGCGGGCGGCGAGGCCGTGGAAGGGCCGCGACGAGGCCGTGGAAGGGCGGCTACGGGGCCGCTGAAAGGGCGGGCGGCGACTGGGCCGCCGAAAGAGCGGCGAAGGGGCCGCTGAAGGGTGGCAACGAGGCCGCTGGTGGGCGGCGATGGGGCCGCGGAAGGGCAGTGTCGGGGCCGCGGAAGGGCGGTGTCGGGGCCGCGGAAGGGCGGGCGACGGGGCCGCTGTAAGGGCGGCGAAAGGGCTGCAGGAAGGGGCGGCGACGGGGCCGCGTAAAGGGCGGCGCGACGGGGCCGCAAGGGCGGCGCGACGAGGCCGAAAGGGCGGCGCGACGGGGCCGCAAGGGCGGCACGACGGGGCCGAGAGGGCAGCGCGACGGGGCCGTTAGGGGCCGTAGAAGGGGCCACTAGATGGGGGAAGGCACGGGGCGGGACTCGGGCAGGGGCCAAGCGTACTCCGGGCAGAAAAAAAAGTCGGTGGGCTCTAGGAACAGTTCCCACGAGGGAACCAGCTCTATACCATGTGAAGATGAGAACGAGAGAATGATTGAACTATGAAAGAGTTGGGTACATTACTAACCCTAATTGGGTTGTACCCCTTATGGGCTACCCCACTACAGCCTACACAAATGTATAAGCTATAATGTTCTGACATATCCGCGGTCTTGTGCACCCAAAAGGTGTGTTCTCCAGGGTGTACGTACAAACATATTGTCCCCACTATTACCGTAATCATCTGGAAAAGAGACGCACTGTGAGTGTAGTTCCCCGGCTCGCTTATGCGGAATGGGTCTTGTTTTTTTTTTTTTTTTTTTTTTTTTTTTTTTTTTTTTTTTTTTTTTTTTTTTTTTTTTTTTTTTATGCAGGATGCGTTCAGGACGCCACCAGTCAATGTCATTACAAGTTTATGGGTGCTGGCATCTGCTTCAGCTTCTGCCGCATCCACGTCATCAACAGGCGTCTCCAACTCCACGATGAAGGGATGGGGGTGGTTTTGTCCTTTGTCATGTCTTTCACGTCATCCAAAACCTCCACCTCAGGCACGCATCTGGGAAAGAATGAGGCGGTCCTTGGTGCTTTTGAGAAAGGTGGCGATGCTATGCTACACGTGACAAACGACTTCCTGATGAGGTCCTCGTCAACTGCCTCCCAGGACCCTAGATCCACCATAGCAACATTTCCAGTGACCATTTCTGCAGGTTCCTTGGGCATAAGTTACAGTGAGAGTAAAAAAGACGGTGATCATCGAATATGTTTGGCCAAAGGCGGTGACACCTATCAAAGGCTTCACTCACATGCGCACGTGGTGCAGTTGATGCCGACATCTTCGAACCACATGGAGTAGTGGTGGTGCATGCCAGCCTTGAAGCTCCTCTTCATAGACACATCGAGCTCCTGCACGAGGGGGGTGCACCATGCTGGAATCACCAGCACCATCCTGGAATCACCGCATGCGTGAATTTGAACATACACATTGTCTATACAATTATTTTTAGCTGGTTATTCTTGCCTCTAACCATTCCGTATGTGTTCTCGTATTCGTACAAAATGTAAGAGAGAAAGCTTATACTGGAACCAAGTTGTCGATAGCAAGACCGTTCGTGGAGCGTGAACACTGGCCAAACTCCAGTCTTTTTGGACATGCCCTACAGATACATGTTGGATCACCTTAGGGAATGCACCATGCAAGTCAAGAGAGCTGATTACAAGAAAGAGTGAATAACATGACTGCTGACAAGAGCTATGCATGATTGAGCAGCGCCAAATCGCAAATACCTGTACAAGCAGCCACATGTTGGCTTAACCAATATCCTATTAATATGTCCATGGTCGTTACATACACGATACAGCGGATACGTGAGAGGGAGAGGAGCGTGGTTGTACATGTCCCAGCAACCCCATTTAAAATAATGGTGGTTGCATTTGGTTGAGGGCAAGAAGCCAATGTTGTTCATATACAAATATTTAGTGCACAAACAAGAGCTCGGAAACTAGACAGGTGTGCAAAATGTTCTAGCATTGGCGAAGCATTTAAGTAGCCCAGTGTTAAGCAGTTTTATTCCATATTCAGGATCCTCTAGAAATTACAACCCATGTTGAATACCATAACGGGGAATATGGCCCTAGTATAAACTGCACAGGAACAGAAGCTAGCTTGTAAACGGCTTCCTGGACCGTGGTATTATGCACTGCCAGAAGACCCGCCGAGAATACCTAAGTTCTCTGCACGAGCAATCTCAGCGGTGAAACTAGCACCCACTCCAATGGCAAGCTCTCTATCGATGCGGTTTGCTGCCCTGTCAGGGTCAATTCCAAAGAAATCACTCTTCATCTGCTGGAGTTCAGCCAGAATGCGAATCATGGAGGGGCGGGAGGCAGTGGGCATGGCGGTGCAGCTGAGGGCAAGGCGAGCCATGCGCAGCACCAGATCGTCCGATGCTTCCAATTGAGGGTCCTTGAATGTCGCCACAGCATTGGAGGCCACCAGTGGAGCCACCTGCGGGAATGGAGTCGAAGGGTACTGATTTGCAACAGCAGTTGTTCATCAGATTGGGTCACGCTGTTTATAATGGCATCTGTGCATTGTCAAGTTTTGTTTAAGTCTGCCCTCGTAGATTAGCCTATCCAAAGGAAACCTGAAACGCGATGTTTGATAAGAATGGTGACTTTTATTTTCTAAGGCGGGACTCAGATGACTTACCCAGTGCTTGAGCGTGGTCTGGCCACCATCGTCCATGTGAATGGCCTTGCGTGCCGTGATCACAACCAGCATCACCACACCAAAACTGCCATGCAAGGCAACACAGCAGGGGGAAGACCGTGGAGGGCACAGGTGGGCAGTGCTGGCCAGGACGTACGACCCTGCAGCATGGATCATTCAAGCTAAACACTGTACTCAGCATGCAAAAGTTGCTGGTGTGCGTCACAACAATGCTGTGTGCGCACCTGTGCACGTCTGCTGCAGGAGTGGCTTTCTGTGTCTTGAAGTAGGCAGGGTCCACATAGCCTGGTGTGCCCATCACTCGAGTGGCGGTCGCCGAAGTGCCGCTCCCCAGCCTCACAAGGCCAAAGTCTGCAATTCGAGCCTGTGGAATCAAAAAGATTGTTCAGCTTATCAGCAAAACTGCTAGAGTAGGCCAGCTTGATACCAGGGATAATGATACACAAGGAATCACAAGGTTATTCAGAATTCACAAAGAGTATGCCGGCTACAGGAGTCTGTTTACCTGCATCTTGGAGTCAAGGAGTATGTTGGCAGGCTTGATGTCGCGATGCACGATGCCAAACTCATGCAAGTACTGCAGCCCTTGAGCCGCTCCTATCAGCACATCCAGCCGCTGTTGCGCTGTCAGCAGCCTGGGGGCAGCTGGCAGGCAGCAAGGAAGGGCGAGCGGCAGGAGGCTAGGCATTGAACATGCATAGTCAGCGGCTGTTTCTGCGCTGTCAGCGGCCTGGGGATTCTGTTGAGCAAGGCAGCTGCATTCTGAGAAATGACAAGAACAAGAAAAAATATGAATGAAAAGCTTCAGAACGACACTATGCAGAGGGGGCAGGGGTTACCGGGTCCAATCCAGGCCTCAAGGTCACCATTCTCCATGAATTCATACACGAGCACTTGCTCCATGGTGGCTGTGACCGCATCCACGTCCACACAGTACCCCAGCAGCCGCACCAGGTGCGGGTGGTGCTTCGATGCCATCTCCTTCACCTGCCAGGCGCAAAACAACACTCGCACGACCAGACGAATGACATTGAAGGCTCCCTATTTGGCTTTAAAGAGCATGTGCAGAGGAACAATCACGGCTCAACGGTGAATGCAGAGCACGAGAGTGCGCGAGCCAGACCTCTCTGTGGAAGTCGTTGGTGAGCAGCTTGGCGCGCTTCACAGCCCAGATCTCAGAGGGGTCGTGGGGAGATACCCCCCTGTACACGTCGCCGAAGCTGCCGCTACCGATCCTGCTCCCCTCTGCCCAGTCACCTGTGGCCCTCGCCATGTCTGCGAGAGAGTATCTGCGGCACACGTGAGGATCCACCCCACCCATCCCAAACATTTGTGCGTCTCCTGAGTTTCCTCCACCTCCTCCTGCTCCTCTTGCCTGCAGAGCCAGAGCCGCTGCTGCCTCTGCACCTGGTTCTGCAACACAGCACAACAAAGGAATGGGGACCAGCCAAGGTTGTCTCAATCAGAGTCCTTTGCATGACACTTGTGCTTGCATGGACCTCGGATCGGATAGTGACAACTGACAGTACAACCTTTCCAGAATTCACTTGTGCAGCGTAGCAGCGCTGTGGATCATCCTGGGCAGTCGGAGTGATCATCCTCCACCCATGCCACAGCTGTCAGCCTCACCTGAGGGAGCAGGGAGTGCAAGCTGCTCCGACTGCTGCTTGCTGTGGGCTGCTCTCATGCACAAAAACGCAGCCAGCAGCAGCACAGCCACCACGGCAGCACCAGCAGCAGCTGCAATGCCGACGATCGCACCCGTTGAGAGGTTGGCTCCAGAGGCAGTTGACGATGGTGCAGAGGGGGGTGATGCAGGTGTTGGGGATGTGGTGGGAGGGGGCAGGGATGGAGAGGAGGTGGGCGCAGAGGTGGAAGGAGGCGCAGAGAACGAGGAAGGGGCGGGCACGATTGGAGGAGGCGAGGAAGGCGGTGCTACAATCGGGGGAGATGAGGAAGGTGGGGGTAGAATTGGGGGAGGCAAGGAAGGCGGGGGTAGAGTTGGGGGAGATGAGGGAGGGGCAGGTAGGATAGGGGAGGACGATGAAGGGGGAGCAGAGGGCGGAGGCGCTGAGGGTGGTGCCGCGGAAGGAGGCGCTACCAGTGAAGGCGGTGCTGGGGGGTGCAGCAGCCAATGGGGGGCAGAGAAGGTTACAGGACGGAGGGGGCAGCACAGACAGAGTCACAGAGGGGTGAGGAGGCAGCAGACTGACGTTGGAAATGAATACTTTCCATGGACCTGCATGGAACGTGGTGCATCCTGCAACTAACCAGCACTATGGGCCAGCGAGTGGATTGCAATGGTGCTCTTGTGGCGCCGTGCCACGCATGCACTTCCGTGCACACGCAAGATGGGTGCCAAACATGCAGGCGTGCAGGCATGCAGGAGACTCCAGGTTCCTATCTGAGGGGCATCTCTCTCGCTCGTGTTGTCCTTGTCAATTGCACTAGTTGAAACTGCCTCTATATACCACTAGAAGCTGACCTTGTAGCACGCACGCCCCGCAGAAGGAGCCGCAGAGCATGCAAGGGCTGGAAGGGTCGAGTGTATTGAGCACGCACGAGCTGGTGTCTGCTGGGCACACAAGCGAGTTACCCTCCGTGGTGCTGCATGGGAGTGAGTGGAAGAAGCATATGATGGCGAGTTTTGGCATGCGGTAACTGTGTTGCAGACGCATGATTTTCGTTGGAAGGATTGACTTTTTGGGCAGGCGGGCATTCTTGAAGGCTGCTTACACTGCAGTGAGCTTGGGCAGTGACGCAAGGAACGTGGGGAAGCTCCCGGATAGCATGTTGTTGGCTGCATCACTACATGCCAGACAGATGGAAAGTTAATGAGAGGGGGAGAGATTGAGTCACAGATCTTTATGGGATGTGGTAGGCGGCATCTGCCTGTGCAGCATACTGAGGACAATGCGAATGAGGGGTGCATGTTCCAGGGCTGGAACAGCAAGGGGAGATTGATTTGATTTGAACATGCAGGCAACAGATCCTGAACTTGGGACTCGGTCTTTTCACCAGGCCTCTGCAAAGTAAAAACTACGACTCACAGGAACATACAAATCCAGTCCCACCTGCCACAAAGTAACGTCTCTTCTAAGGCGGATCAGGTGGGCAGTAACACACTATCAAGTGAGGCGTCAAGCTGACGGTTCTACAGGTGGAGTGGCAGGGCGAGCAAGGATAGCAGAGACTGACAGCTGCTGCAGGTTGAGGAGCCTCTCGAACGATGCTGGGATGGATCCTGTGAGGCTGTTGCCATTGATGCCACTGCCGAGTAGCACACGGACGGGAAGAGACAAACCAGCACAACACTTGGTAAGACCCTTTTCCACGCTCACCACCATTAAAGGTCTGCGGCTGTCCCAGTCATTTGAGTTTTGACACTGGCAGCAGCGCCATTGCAGATCAACATGGTTCAAATAAATATTCCGATATCTAATGTCAAAAGACCAGAGGGTTATCTGTGCGGGTGATCGGACAGGCTCACAGGTACTTGAGGCTGATAAGGTCCCCAAGTGAAACTGGAATGGATCCTGTCAGCAGGTTGTTGCGAATAAAACTGCGGCAGGGACACACAGGCACACGTGGCGTGAAACCGATGGCAACTGCGAGGGAGAGAATTTCACACACATCTGGGAGAAGCATTCCAGTCTAGCGTGTGGGGAATGACAAGCGATGTTGAGGTGGTTGGTCTGAACGAAAGTATGGACGAATCTATTGGTGGTTGTGTGGCACAAAAGAGCGAATAGTGGAGCGTAGGCACTGACAGGTCTCTGAGCCTGGTGAGCTTCCCCAGTGACTTGGGTATTGTCGACGTGAAGGCGTTGCCACTCAGCCACCTGGTGGAGCAAGGAGGCATTGTGTGCAGCAGAGGGAGAAGGTGGTTCTGGCAAACATGCCCAGGCGAAGTGGATGAGGGAATAGAGTATCGAGCTTGCATACAAGAGAAGCCACGGATCAACAAATGCAGCATAATGATGCATGTTCAGGTCGTAGGGTAAGGTCCCACACGGGCAAGGGAAAATTCATAATCTCTCGCTCACAGCATACATTATCTCTAATCTAAGGTCCCAATAGAGCATGCTCATGAGCCTCATGCACTGAACCCACAGGGCTTCCAGTGTGGTGAGGCCTCCAAGGAACTCAGGAATGGTGCCAGAGAGCCTGTTGGCTGAGAGAGTGCTGCACGTGGCCAAATGAACACACATGAGCACATGTATGTGTATGTGTGTTTTTTGTGTACACTTGGGTGTGTGTGTATGCGAATGTAACGTGCACATGAGTATGTGCGCGCATGCGCATGCATATGTGCACATGTTTATGCGTGTGCATGTGTGTGTGTGTGCGCGCGCGCGTGCGTGTGTGTGTGTGTGTGTGTGTGTATGTGTGTGTGTGTGTGTGTGTGTGTGTGTGTGCGTGCGTATGTGCACATATGTATATTCGTGTGCAAGTGTTTGCACATATGTGTCTGCGTGGATGAGTGCACAATGCACCTACGTTGGAAAAAAACGCTCAGATGAGTTTGTGTGTTGAGTATTTGCACTAAAATACGTACGCTGCGTTCTTTTGTGTAAATACGCCAAAATACAGCAAAAGATGATCCTGAAGTTGGGTTCGAGCTCTCTACGTAGTGAACTCAAACTTGGCGTCACACATTCGCAATCTCAACTTCGATTTCGAATTTTGAAGCCGATTCACAACAAACCCTCCTGTTGGCCGCCAAACAACCCTCTCAACCCCATCCATCCCAGTCACTTCCAACTAAATGTCCAGTGCATCCCCCCTGAACGATGACGAAGTTCAAAGGGCAAGTGACATCCGCAGAAAGTGTTTTTGGCTGAACGTTGTCGATCATTTAGTCGACAAAGTCCTTCGCAAAAGTCGACAAAGGTGGAAGATTCTGCCATTTGAGGGTGGCTCGGGGACGGGTTTGCTGGCCACTGTGACAAAGGTGGAAGATTCTGTTTCGGATTATTTGGACGACATATAGCGACGGTGTCACATACAAACATGCGACGTCGTTGGTTCACTATAGCCGCGTAGGGAACATCAACATTTCACTGTTGCCAATTCAGGTTGACATCGTAGCCGCTATCAAGTCATTCATGCGTTGGAAAAGCATCGACATGCTTTTCGGCCACATATGTACAGATTAAGTTGCCAGAGTTTGCGAATTTTGCAGACACATTGGTGACGGTTACGATTGCAACAGCCACCTGGACGAACTATCTTACACGCCCTTAGCGACGATCTTTGACGATCTTACACACCCTTAGTGACAATCTAGTTCTTAGTCAGGACCTAGTTCTTAGTCAGGACCTAGTTCTTAGCGTTGACCTAGATTTTAGTTGTCCTTATATCTAGTGACGATCTAGTTCGTACTGTCGACCTAGTTCTTGGTGCTTTGTGGTCGCCCATCCCCACCTCTCTATTTTTCCTGCACCGAAAAGGTTTTAACCTGCCCAGGCCTTCCTATTCTGTGCATACCAGACCCCCTACCATGTAGCGTATGGCGTATATACGCTTGCAAAATGGCTCCAATAAAGCGCAATATGCATATATTCCAGCTTAGCAGTGCCCATATGTGTGCATGTTCTGTGTGCATGCGCGCCCACATGCATGTGCGCGTGCATACATTACCACATACAAGATTTGAGGAACATATGATAAGTCCAACCGGAGGGTGGCTAGTTCACTCACAGCACTAGCAAGGAAGAGAGGCCAGAGAGTGTGGCCGGGAGTGTTCCATTGAGGTTGTTCTTCAGCAGCTTACTGCAGAACAATGCACACAATGAGGAAGCACGGTTGAATCAACACAAGAGGTGCTGCAGCTGCAATTCACGGTCAGTTACACACTGTTCAGAGTCAAGGCATGTCATCCATGTTGTCATTCTCTCACTCTAACCAACGCACATGTATGGGCTTGGATCAACTTCATCTTACTGTGCCTCACATCTCATGCTCCTACTACTGTCACGTGTACACTTTCACAGCTGTGGTTAATGCATGGGGGTACTTCGAGCTAGTGCATGGGAAGGGTCGAGCTAGCACTTAATTACAAGTGTGGGTGGGGAATGATTGGGAGCGCACAGCTCAGTGAGGGCAGTGAGGCGGCCAAGTCCAAGAGGGATTGCGCCTGACATCTGGTTGTACTCTGCATTGCTGCTCATGCATGCATGCATGCATGTACATCAGATGGGGGTTGGGCTGGGGGATGGGAGTGGAGGAGAACGAAGTGCCAACGAACTAGTTTAATATGGCTGGCAGGAAAGAGATCATCAAATGCTTGGCTGACGAAAAACGAGTCCCTGACATTAGCAGTGCACATTGTGATGAAGCATTCTCCTCAACAGCTCTCCGGCTGACTTTTAAGCATGAAATGACGTCACCTGAAGGAATGGGAACATGGGTCTAACAGCGAAGGAGTGGAATCAGTGTGTGTATGGTCTGGTGCACTCACAGGTACTCAAGCCTTGTCAGCTGTTCAAACGTAGAAGGAATGGAGCCTGTCAAACTGTTCCCGAACAAAGATCTGGCAGATACAAGCACAGCAGAGGCGACCGCTCAAGGCTGCTGGTGGTGGACGCACAGGGCAAGAAAAAAGCACAGCTGCACATGCTGGGTCAAGAGGGCTCGAAGCAAAACACACACACACACTATTGTTGGCGCTCTAAACGCTCTAAACAGACCGCATTCTTAGCCACGTTCATGCAGTGGCATGGAAAGACACTCACAAACCGGTGAGGTTCACAAGGTTGCCCAGCGATGCCGGGATGGAGCCCTGCAGCTGGTTGCCCCCGAGAACCCTAAGCACCACATGCAAAAATGGAAGGAGGCGTGGACACGGTTTCAGTTGAGACAATAATACGCTGAGTGTGACCTATAGACATGGGCACTGAGGCGAGCTTATTGGTTCAGCTCGTTACAAAAACTCATCTGTGACGAGTTCTGATTTTTCCTTCTGGCTGTACAGGCTTAGCCGAGTCGAGACAAGTTTTACTTGCGAGCTTTTTAAACTCGTTAAAACACGTGTTCAGCAAAAGGGTTCTTGTTTACTTGCTTTGTGTATTCTATTACAAATTCGTTCGACATGTGACCACGCACAGAGGGGTGATGTATTGTACAGCTGGTGCGACTTGCAAAGGGGTTTCGGGGGTGGGGAGGAACATATAGTTCACGGCCCAAGGTAGTTACGAGGCGAGTTTAACTAGCCTGTGGACGAGTTTGAACGAGATTCTCTTGCCGAAAAACACAAGTAGCGATTCAGACTCAGAGCGGCCAAGTTTTGCTCGCCTCGTCTCGATACTCGGCAGAGTGTAGGCAAAAAGGATACGAGGGTATCTCGCCCCATCACTTTGCCCATTTATACCAACGTACACATGGGCATGGGCACATGCAAAACTCGCACTGGTGTATATTTTCCTCGTCGTCTTGCAACTATTCTTACAGGCTTGCAAGATTGGTGAGGTCTCCTAGCGATGGTGGGATGGACCCTGTCAGCCCAGCTGAATCCAGTCCCCTGGTGATTCACGGGCAAGGGGCACTCAGACTCAAATGCAACTCCTGCCCTGTCAGCCCTGGCGGCATGCACGGGATACAGAAGGTAAGGATGCTTCACACATTGTGCAGCATGGTTCCGAGCATTGATTTATATAATTGCACAGATCAGATCATGTGAAAATGAAGGCATGAAATCTGTCAACTTGCTGTTTGCTGTTTGTCAACTTTCCTGTGTACTTGTGTCAAACGGTTTTCAACTTAGCTCCCCTTCATGGGCAAACGAGTTTGCCAATGGCTTTCTCAAGAAAAGACTGCAAGAACCTCAGAACCTGAGAAAGTAATGTCTCACCTTCTTCCCCCCATACACAACCACTAGACGCCAACAAAGAACAGTGAGGCCGGTGTGACAACCAGTTGCCTCCATCAGCCGTGACATCCCCCCTCCCCCCTCCCTCCTCCTCTCCACACCCCTCTCTTCTCAACAAGGAAATATTCTTCGTGGCAGCAGCAGGGCGTCTGTGGCAGGGGGTTATGTGACATGTACGCCCCTCACCAGCAGGGGGGCTGTGGCAGGGTGTGACTTACAGGTACATGAGGCTGGCAAGGTTGCCAAGCGATGCTGGGATGGAGCCCTCCAATCGATTGCTGCCCAGAAACCTGAAGATGGTTCAAGCAGCGAAGACGTGAATGAGGAGCCACATACTTGGGGGCAGAGTCACCTGGAACTTATCCACCTGGTATCGTGGGGGTCTTAAGGGTTGGGATGAAAGGAACATATACGCGATGTGATTTTGTGCACCTTAACATTTTCCAAGTTGTGTTATGGAACAGTGGCTTGGTACACTGTGTGCATAAATGCGCACACCAATCAATGTGGTCGGGGTTGGGGAACTTGAAGGTGACCAGAAAAGTGCAGGGGGTGACAAGTCAGCATCCATGCATTGTGACAAGACCGCTGATGCACGACCACCCCTTGGAGGGCAGAGCTGTAAGCGGGCCAGGTCTTGCTTTCGGAAAAAGGGCACAAACTGGACCGTTCATGCTTGGCGCTACTTGCGCTTGGCCGCAAATGCAGGGACCAAAGCAGCAAGTTGGCTGGCATGCGTGGCTAGGGGGCATTGGGCGTTGGTGCATGCATGCGTGGGTGCCCTCACAGGCTCTCAAGGTTGGTGAGATTGCCCATTGAAGGTGGGATGGGCCCACTCAGCTCGTTACGGTCCAGGTACCTGCAGGCACACACACAGGCATAAAGGCACACATGCATGAGCAGTGCTGTGGAGGTCTGATGCGATACACTCTGTATGTGCCTCTGAGCAGTGCTTTTGACCGGATGTATGACCCTCTATTGATGGCTATAGTGCTTCAACAGAGAAGAGTGTCATGAGCAGTTATACAATTCACACACGGACCATAGACACACGCAAGTGAGACGGACACGTGCACCTCTGTCAAAACATGCATGCAGGCAGTTGCCACGATTGTGCTTCGGGAGCATAATGGATGGGGGTGCGTGCATGATGAAAGAGGGGTTCCGTGCAATTGAGGTGCCAATAAGAGGTACACGACCAGTGTGCAGTGGTGCCGTGTGGAGAGGTGCAGCTAGAGCGTCCACTCACATGGATCGTAAGTTGCCAAGATTGCCCATGGACGAAGGAATGGTGCCATTCAGCTTGGTTACAATCATCCCGCTGCCCACAGGGAGGAGGGGCAGGAAAGGGTCGGATAAAAAAAAAACGATGAGGCAGCTTTGCTGAGGACGGGTGTGGAGGGGTAGACGGTGCATTCACCCAGCTCAGAAGCCCGGTTTTCTATCACAGTGCCTGCCAGCAGGAAAGACGGTGGGAATCGTGATGCACCAGATGAGCAGTCAAGAGGGAGGAAACCCGCTCAGGTACCAAGAACTGGAAATCCAAGTTTACTGACGTCTCATGAAGACAGGTCATGCCCACTGCAAGATTTCCCTTTTCTCTGTACCGTTGTATGTGACACAGGGAGACAGACAAACTACACAAATGAAGCACACAGGTCAGGTATCGGTTACCCACAGGTAGTAGAGGCGTGGGAGGTTGCCGATGGAATCTGGGATGGGCCCTGAGATGCTGTTGGTCATGATCTGACTGCTTGGAAGAGGTGGGTTGGGAGCAATGGGAGCTGCTCAGAAAACGGCCATAGCATGACCATGGAGTATGCATGAGAGAAGGATGACAAGGTAACGAGGCCAACAGTGTAGCGCTCAACAGATGGGTCCAGCTTTCCCTTCTGTAGTGTAAGAACATGCAGGCGGGAACTGCCTTCACTCGCTTTGCATCACGCTGCCCTCCAGAGTTTCCCACTACTCATGTTGACTGTGAAATGCAGTGAGAATGGTTGAGGCACTGACATGACTTGAAGGCTGGTCATGGCACCGATGGTGGTGGGGATGGTGCCACTCATTTGGTTGGTGGTGAGGCCCCTGCCACAGCAAGTGCCAAGTAGGGCAGTCGGGAGTACCACAGAAACCAGAGAGCACCTCTAATCAGGAGACCAAGGGGAAGCTTGCAGCAGGAGTAGCACGGGGGGTTGGGAGCCATGGGAAGCAGGAGTAGCTCTGAGGGCGGAGGGTGAGGAGGAGGAGAGAAGGGGGCCCGGGGTGGGAGAGTAATAGAGGAAGGGGACAAGAAGGCAGAGGAGAGGAGCTTACAAGTTTGCCAGGTTGGTGAGGTTTCCTATAGATTCAGGTATGGAGCCACTCAGATGCGTTGTGTAGAAGGATCTGTCGGCCAGTGGGGGTGAGGCAGCGAGGAAGGATGATTCATGGAAGGCAGCACCAATAGTACGTGACAGTAGCATTGAGGTGGATGGGATGGGGCGATTAAAGGCAACACCAATGTGGGAGGATGAAATGGGACGATCCACTGAGTTAATTCAAAAACCGGCTCTTGAGGCGCCTCAAAAACCGGCTCACAGGTGGGATAGTGCTGCAAGGTTGCCAATGGAGGGAGGGATGATGCCCGTGATGTTGTTGCCGTTGATGGCTCTGATGGGCGACACAGAGGGACGGTGAGAGGCGTGGTGGGAGGTGCAGAGCTGTGGAGAGCTACTGTGCACAGTCACGCGCATGATGGTATCTGGTGGCATTGCATGCGTACATGCACAGGTGGCTTGGAATGCAGACAGATGGCATATAAGCAGATAGGCCGCATGAGGCAGGTCGCACGAGGCAGGTCGCACGAGGCAGGTCACAGGAAGCTAGAGTTGCTCGCTCACAGGTAGACGAGGTTAGTGAGGAGAGTGATGGAGTCAGGAATGGAGCCTGTCAGCCCGTTGTCCCCTAGCAGTCTGAAAGGTGATTGAAATGGTTTTGGGGTCAGGATTTAGGGTTTAAGGGTTAGGGTTAAGGTCCACCAGTGTTCCTCATTGGATACAATGCCTGTTTGGATACTTCCTCCACTGGTCCCTCAGTACCCCAGATTATACTTCTGGCATGGTATGAGAAGATTTTGTGAAATGAAATATCGGCTGCTGCCAGACAAGAAATAGATTTGTGCAACAAGGCAAAGGTGATATCGTGCACAGACAAGTGCGTGATGGGCGTACGGCGGCAAAGCATGCAGGTGGCACGGAATGGTGAGGAAGAGACGGACAGAAGAGCTCACTCACAGGTAGACGAGGTTAGTGAGGAGAGAGATAGAGTCAGGGATGGTGCTCGTCAGCTCGTTGTACTTCAGCTGCCTGGCAGATAAAATGCAGCAAGGGACGGAGAGGCGGAAGGGGAGGCGAGGAGGGGTTGCAAGCTGATTCTTGGGCAGGGGCAACGCAGAGCAGGAGAGCAGTGTGAGAGGTATGGCCTTCACTTGTGGTGAATAGACTTCTTCTGAACTTGTGTTCCTTGGCACACGCAGCCTAGCGCGCAGCCTAGTGCACAGCCTTGCGCGCAGCCTAGCACACAGCCTAGCTCATAGGGTAATGGCATGGACTCATTGGATTGCACAAGGGGGCGGGGCCGGCCAGCCTCACAGGTGAGTGAGCTGAGCAAGGTCACCAATGGAGTCAGGCAGAGGGCCGCCCAGCGTCACATTCTCCATCGTGCTGCCAGTGCAGTGCACAGGGGCACAGCCAGGGGCAAATAGGGGCAGGAAGGCAGGCAGGCAGGCGTGGGTACATGGGAGATGGGGAGAGCTGGTGAGGAGAAGGTTGGGGAGCAGGTTGGGCCTGCGATAGGGCAGGGCAGTGGGTACTAAAGCGGGCGATGCCATGGTAGTTGTTGACAGTAGTGGTGGAGGGGTGTGGGGCGCGACGCACGAGGCACGAGGGGAAGTGGTGGGGGTGGCATGATGATGCCAGTGAACCACATGGATGACATGAGGAAGGAACAGCAGCATGTGTGCACAACGGGAGACAGAGGAGGGGAGGGAAGAGGGTGAGAGGATAGGAGAGGCAAGTAAGGCAGGGGAACAATGATAGGGAGGTGGAGGACGCGGTGGGTACGAGAGAGGGAGAGGGAGTGGAGGTGGGGACCGGGGTGCAGTGGACAACGAAGATGGGAGAGCAAGGCTCGGCCAGTGTGCATTCATTCCAGGCCATTCCCTTCACTCAAATACATGCCACCCTTTTTCACCACCGTTTAGACACATGACGCGCCTTCCCCTCACCACCCCCACCTACATGTCTATGATCATGCCCGCAGCATCACATGTGAGGTAGGAAGCGTCCTGGCAGTTGCCTCCAGCCGTCCACCCTTCCGGCAGGTTCGCGCCCCATGCGCCCTGGCAGTCTGAGAGGAAAGCATCTGCGGCGGGAGTGCGGCAGGAAAGAGCAAGCAGTGTCTGCGGGCTACGCCACAAGCGCGTGTTACGCCAGCACAAGTCCCCACTCAACCTGTTCTGCTCGCATGGTCGGTAACCTGTTGGTGAATAACCTTGCGGTCTGTGCGAGCGGGGATGTGGCTCTGCAGATTCCGTCCCCAACGATATTGATGCAGGGATGGCTGTGGAATAAAAGGGCATGTTTATTAGGTACATCAGGGGAACCCATAACCGGCGAGGATGGCAGACCTTGAGGATGCCACTTGGGGCCAGATCAGTGTCCCCTTCCAGATGCAAGGTTTCTCCGGGTCACCCATGAGAATGTTACCCCAAGGCTCCATCTAGGGGATGTTTGGCGCTGCGAGGGGGGATGTTTGGCGCGGCCTGTCCAATGAGTCACCTTTTCAGTGTTTGTGAGTCTCCACGACGACTCCGAGGGTCGCTACCGTGTGCTGCCGCGGCACCTATCCTGCATGTAGTGGTAGCTGTCAGCCCGCCGCATTATCACCGCGCCAGAAGCACTGGTCTCGCGTGTACATGACACCCCACGCGGCGTATAGATGAGCTTTCCAAGGTTCTGCGACGAAACGGGTAATACCTTGCGACGAATCGATGGTCTGAGCGGATGCCAGGCTTAAAAACGCCGCGCTCGCCACGAATAGAAGCGCGCCGAGCCCAGCGGGTGAATGCGGCACTTGATTCCGCGGCATGGGGATGATGTACGTTGGGAGTGAGACGCAGAGAACTACCACGCGTGCTCAAGCGGAAGCTTATTCCAAGGATTTAAAATATATACCCACTACAGTGCATTGAATTAACGGTTGCGCGCAACACCAGCTAGCTTCTTTATAGCATATGCCGTAATAGGAGAGTCTGCACATGGCGCAAGGAGTGAGGAGCGCTTGCTTTTGCCCGTCGGTGCAAGACATGTGCGGCGTTTGTGGAATCCGCTCCGCCCCTAGTTTCTCATGCCACGTCATCCGAGGAACGTGTAATACAGCAGCCACACTGAGCCAAGCACGTGGAACAGGCAGGAGGTGCTCGAATTGACTTTGAGGGACCACAAGAGTGGCCTAGAAGACAGATTATGGTTATATATTTATCTTAATCACTGTACAAATCACACTTATATTAGGCCCCTTGGCCTATATCCACTAAAGAATAGCGGAGTCGACTAAATCTAGGATGGAATGCGGCAGAAGACTTTGACGAAGAAAGTGTTGGCGAGATAGGCAAAGGAGTTAGTGAGTAGTTGAATGAGAAAATGTTGATATTGGCAAGTACAAACAAGATTGATAGCATGTCGGATAGTACTTTGTGGGACAAACATTGTAAGGCAAGAAAAGTAGAGTGCCACATGGCACTACGAAATCTGAAAAGATAAGATGATGAAAGTTTGGGAAGTACAGTTTGGGATAACACTGAATCATCATTTACTATTACTCCCTTCTTAAAGAGGCGATGTCCGCGGTGCCTGAAGACTGAAGGTACGCTTGGAGGTAAGCGTTGTCGGGAGACAGCGAGGGCGAAGGAACCCAGCTGTCATTGGTAGCGTTGTATCTACACCAACGAACCAAGAAGTCAATGAAGGAAACGCCCCCCCCCCCTCAGAGACAGCGACGGTGCGCTGGATCTGGTAGTCATGCTCGTCGCTGTCAATAGCTACCTTCTGTAGAGTGCGATCACGACCCGAGAAGGTGGTGTTGGGATCGGTGTTGTATGGACAAAACAGAGGCACGTGGAATGACAGGTGTGTGCGGAAATGAGTGAGAAGGCGAAAGGGGTATGCGATTGGACCCAGTGCGCGCTCAAGGACGAATAGACCAATGAAACAAGGGCGAAGCTTCTTGTTTTGTGGCAGTCGAACGTTCTAGCTATCCAAAAGGACATGGTCGCCGACTGAAAACGATACCTCTCGGCGACTGCGGTTGATGGTGAGTGACATGCGTGCATTTGCGAGCTCAAGGTGCTTCCTCACATAGTCGTGAATGGAGGTGAGATGTGAGGAAACTAGAACGAGAATGAAATGACTAAGTGAAAGTTGGGTACAAATACAAACCCTAGAAAGATGTACCCCATATGTGCTACCCCACTATAGCCTACAATAGCTATGTCATATATATCTGACACACCCCCATAGGCAAAGTGGGGGAGTACAAGGGGTCACAAGACCAGTCAAGCAGAGCAAAGCAAAGCAAGCTCAGGGTGGATCACAAAGTTACCACACAGTTCGAGCACAATGTCAAGGCCATAAGGCCAGTTCACATGCAAGAGTACACATATATATATAAGGCTAAACAAGCAAGAGCAGGTGTATATATGTATATGTAAGAGTACAAGCAAGGTCAAGGGGTGAGCAAGTGAGGCAAGACAGGGACAAGACCCAGCTGAGTGCAGAACCACTGATGATCACAAGGCGGAAGTGCCTTGGTGAAAACATCAGCACTGTTGGCCTTAGAGGCCACGTACGCAAGCCGCAACTGACCACGCTGCTGTAGCTTACGAGCAAGGAAGTAGCCAAGAGCAATGTGCTTTATTCTGTGCTCCAGTCTGTGCTCTCGACACAAGGCCAGCATGGCCTTGTTGTCTACGTACAGCACTGGAGGAGAACGAGGCGGCTCTCCAAGGTCGGCCAGCAGGTTGGTGAGCTAGCGAAGCTCCTGTGCAGCCATGGCCCCGACGTAGATCTCAGCCTCACAACTGGAGCCGAGAACAGAAGACGAGCGAGTAGCCCACCACGAAACAGAGCCGGAACCAAGGCTGAAGGTGTAACCCTGTGACGACCGCTGCGTAGCCTGATTGTCAGCCCAAGAAGCGTCCGCGTGCCCAGTAAGGACCACTGGACTCCGCCCTCCAAGCACTAGCCCCATGCCCGGCGTACTGCACAAGTAGCACAACACCCTCTTCGCTGCAGCCATGTGCTCTGGTCTGTGTCTCCCAGGAGCAACATAGCGTGCAAGAATGCTAAGAGGGTATGCAAGGTCAGGTCGTGTGCATGTCATCACGTACATGAGGCAGCCAACAAGCTCTGGGTACGGGCCACTCGACTCTACGGACTCATCCGAAGGCAGAGCTGAGAGCGAGTGGTGAGTAGACAGAGGAGTGGCCTGAGGCGAGGAGTACTTGAAGTTGAAGCGCAGAAGGACCTGCTGCACCTTGTGTGACTGAGTCGAGGTAATGGTGCGGTGTGCTCTGTCCCAGGTGATCTGCAAGCCAAGGTAGCTGTGCACTTCACCCAGGTCTGTGCACGTGTATCTCTTCTGCAGCTCGGACTTCACGTGGGCGAGTCCAGCATTGTCAACTGTGGCAAAGACCAAGTCGTCGACGTACACGAGGATGTAGAACAGCGGCAAAGAGGTGTCCGTGCGTAGAAACAGCGACGGGTCGGCAGTAGAGGGAGCAAACCCAAGAGCCGCAAGCGTAGTCCTCACTGTGTCGTGCCACTCACGCGGTGCCTGGCGAAGACCGTAGACTGGCCGTCGAAGGCTCCATTGAGTGCCAGGAGGAAAATTCCCACTGAAGCCAGGTGGACGGCGCAGCCAGATCTCCTCGTGCAGGCTACCCTGCAAGAAAGAAGTGCTGAAGTCAAGGGAGTGAAGCTCGTAGTTACGCTGAACGGCTATGTGCAGCAACACCCGAAGAGTGGTCATCTTCAGGGTGGGACAGAAGGTATGAAAGTAGTCAACTCCCTGCCGCTGACTGAAGCCACGAGCCACGTACCGCGCCTTGAAGAAGGGTGGAGAACCTGGCGGCCGCTTCACCCTGAAAATCCACATGCCACTAACGATGTTCGCCCCAGGTGGGGGAACCGCGTCAACGTAGGTGCCTGTGGACTTCCAAGAAGCCATCTCTGCATCCATAGCTGCCTGCCACGGAGAGGAGTAGGGACCCTCTACGACCTCCGCGTAAGAGCGCGAAGTCGGGATGTCAAGTGCATCCGGGTCTCCCTCAGGGGTAAGCCGTACGGACACGAGATGGGGTGAAGCAGCAGCTAGACACTGGAACTCCTCCTGCCTGTCCTCAAGGACGTCCGTGCCAAGAGCACACTCACCCCCGACGGACGGAGGACAGACAGACGCAGACTCAGCAACAAGACTAGCAGCGTAGTCTAGACGACAGCGAGCAGCAAAGTCGACGAGCTCAGCAACAAAAGCAGACGCAGCAGTAGACTCAGAGGAGGGGTCAATGACGACAGTAGCAAGGAGACGCGTGACAGTAGGACTGGCAGCACGAAGAGAGTACGACTCTGGGCCGGCAAGTGAAGGAAGAGAGGACTTAAGAGGAGAAGGCAAAGGGGCACGAAGAGGAGCAGTGGACGTACGCAGAGACATCCGGTGCGTGCCTGGGACAGGAGGAGGACGCTGACGCGAACCGCGACCACTAGTGCGAGCAGCACGAACATGCGACGCGGGACGAGACGCAGGCTCACAACGCTCAGCAAGACCTCCATAAGGACCGGTATAGGGAGACGGAGCAGGCAGTGAGGAGGCCAGCGGTAACTGTGACTGTGACTGGACAGGCGGTGGACACTCTAAGGGAGGAGGAAGACCAAGAACCTGCTGAAGGAGCGGAACAAAGTACGGCCGAGGCCGCGCGGCGACTCCCGACACTGCACGGACAGCACCAGCACCCCCACCGGCAGCACCAGCGCCAACACCACCTTAGGTACCTCCACCAGCACCCGCAGTAGGACCGCCGCCAGGACTGACAGCAGTAGCCTCAGCGCCAACACCCTCAGCAGCTCCGACTCCAGTCGCACTCGCAGGACCAACAGCACCAGCACTCCCAGGACTAGCACCTCCGAGATCGGCGGCACCAGCACCCTTAGCAGCCGAAGAAGCACCAGCTCCAGCAGTACGCCTCCAGGGCTGGGCAAACCATTCGCGCAGCACCTGTGGAGAGAGTGGCTCCCGCCGAGATGAATTACCCGGAGAACCACCACGCCCAGCACCGCCAGACACCACACGAGTAGGTCCAGTGGCCGCGGGCTTCGCACCCCCAGGCTCAGCAGCTCCAGACGCAGCACCCCTAGGCTCAGCAGCTCCACACGCAGCACCCTTAGGCGAAGGACCCCCAGGCTCAGCACCCCCAGTTGTAGCACCCCCATGCTAAGCACCCCTAGTCGCAGCACCCCCAGGCTCAGCACCCCTAGGCTCAGCACCCACTCGCGCAGTACCCCTAGAGTCAGCACCCCAAGGCTCAGCACCCGCAGCAGTACAAGAATCACCTGCAACCTCGACCGGCTTGACTGCGTCTACTTGGGACACACCTGAAGGGGCAGGACCCTGAGGGGGGAGGGGGTCTACCTGGGGGGGACCTGGCACAAGGAAGTGCGGCGACG